TAAATAAATAAATCTTAAAAAAAAATACATTAAAAAAAGTGAATGTCTTTATGGTCAAAAGTTCATTCTTTTTTCAACTGTCACTTAAAGATGAACAACATACCACCTAATAAGCAAGAATTAAAGAATACACTGGCAAAGATGAGAGTAGTTACAATCTATTCTCATACCCTACAAGTATGCACTTATATGATCTTCCTAAGTAACAATTTAGAAATTCACAAATAAAAGTCTCAAATAGTTTAGCAATATCCAACTTTTGGATGGACCAATTCTACTACTAGAAACCTACCCCAAGGAAATAATGTTGTATGGCACAATTTAAGTTTCAAATGTTTTTAAAACTTTGTTAGACCATACACAGAGACCAATGGGACAGAACTGAGAGTCCACAAATAAGCACACACTTATAGTGACAGTTAATCTATCACAAAGGATTTAAGAATATACAATGGAGAAAGGAAAGTCTCTTCAATAAAAGGTGCAGGGAAAAACTGGACAGTCAGATGTAAAAGAATGAAACTAGATCACCATCTCATACCATGCATACCACACACACACACAAGTAACTCAAGACAGATTAAAGACTTGTATGTAAGACTGGAAACTACAAAATACATACAAGAAAGCACTATGAAAACACTCCATGACATAGGCTTCAGGGATGTGTCTGGGTATCCAACTAAACAACAAAGGAAACAAAAGCAAAAATAAACAATTGAGCCTACATTAAACTAAAAAGCTTCTGCACAGTAAAAGTAACTACCATTAAAATGAAAAGACACCCTACTAAATGGGAAACAATTTGTGTACATCATATACAATTGACAAGGAGCTAATCTTCAATGTCTACATATAACTCATACAAATTTCAACAAAAAATAAATAATGGAGTCAGAACATGGGTAGAAGACCTAAATACAGTTCTCAAAAAGACTTATAGATGACGAAGGGGCCCATGAAATGAAATGTTTATCATCACTTTCCACAGGGAAATGCAAACCAAAACCAAAATGCAATACCACCTTGTACATGTGAGAATGGTCCATATTGAAAAGACCAGACAGGCAAGTGTTGGTGAGGATGTGGAGAAAAAGGAATCCTATGCACTGCTGGTGGAAATGTAAACTGGTCCCGCCTCTATGGAAAGTATGGAGGTTTCTCAAAATAGTAGAAATAGATCTACCCTATGATCCAGCAATTTCACACAAAGAATGCAAAAACTCTACTATAAAGGGATATATTCACTCCTATTTTTGACTGCAGCACTATTTGCACTAGCCATGGAAACCCTCTAAGTGACCAATAACATATGAATGGATCAAGAATATGTAGTTTATATACACAGTACAATAGTCAGCAATAAAAAAAGATGAAATCTTGCCATTTGTAACAACATAGATAGAACTGGAGGGGATTATTCTAAGCAAACTAAGTCCAAAGAAGAAAGACAAACAGGATTGATTTCACTGAAGTGGGGGAAAAAAAAGGAACATACGAGCAAAGCAAAACGACCCCTAGAAATCTACCAGAGTGGGTGGGGAGCAAAGACAGAGGGGCCTAATGGATCAAGGTCAAGGACTATGGTGCCTTGATGGTGGGAGCAGTGTGGTAACATATATATGAAGAGTTGTGAACCTGTACATATACATATACATATACAATGTCATAAACCAATATTACCTCAAAAAATATATACAAAAAAGTTGATGGTGAAAATACAAAAAAAAGTTTAAACTGTAAATGTGACTAAACATCTGTATTATGTATCTCTCTATCTGCATTTATCTAACATTAGATGCATTCTTTATAATACCCAAATCCCAGAGGCACCATAAAATGATTAACAATGGAGGGAAAATAACAAGTGGCATAATGGAATGCTATGTAAAAGGTCTATTTAAAAATAATGTGTATGACATGAAAATACTTGTAGATCTACTGCTAAAAGAAAAAAAGTCAATTTCTACATAGCATATCTCATGTCTCTTAAAAATGAAAGGTCTACCAACAAAATAAAACTAGAATGGGGATATGACAACTCTCTATATGGAAGAATTCATTCTTTATTGAATTCTTTCCCTTATCTAAAATTTTAATAACAAGGGCTAAAAACAGTAATTTATTAGTTTATAGCCAGTCTTTTGTTCATTTGACTTCTCATCTACTACAAGGAACACAAAGTATGAGATGTTAATTCTGTAAGTTTTATTACTGCTGTTTACTCTAAAGCTATTAAAAGTATTATTCAATCATTTGTGATAACCAAGAAATATCAACTTTGTACTTATATCCATAAAATTTCTATAATACAGGGATAGAAGACTAAGAAATTAATGTTATAGGCTACAAATGCAATTACAAAAACTGAACTTCAAAATAAGAAAAGTTGCTTTTGTTAAGAATAAATTTGAGAGCTACCTTGTGTAGCAGGGGAAAATGCCGATTCTAGTCACATTTAAGTGTTAACTATTTAAATGTGACATAAACTAAAAAAATATTGTCTTTGTCCTTGATTTCCTGCACAGAGCTAAAAAAAAAAAAAAAAAAGCTTGGACAACTGTTATATATGTTAATGAATGCTTCAGGATAGTCACTACAAGAGCAAAGAATATTAGAAGGTTGGAATTCAGACCCACCGTCCTTTGGACCTCCAGGGAAGGGAAAGGAGACAGAGATTGAGTCAATCACCAGTTGTTAATGATATAATCAATCAGGTCTAAGTAATGAAACCTCCTTCATAACCACCTAAACCATGTGGTTTACAGAACTTCTTAGCTGATCAACACATTCTGTGCTGGGAGGGGAACCACCCAGAGAGGGGATGAAAGTGCCTTGTATCCTTTCTTCACATACTTTGTGCGACCCATCTCTTCCATTTGGCTGTTCTTGAGCTATTCTGTCTATAATAAACTGGCAAATATAAGTCAAGTGTTTTTCTGAGTTCTGTGAGCCAGTCTAACAAATTATCAAACCTGAGGAGGGGGTTGTGAGAACCCCAATTTATAGCCTGTTAGAGAAACAGTGACCTACCTAATATATGTGACTAGCATCTGAAGTGTAGGAAGTCTTATGGGAATGATCCTTCAACTCATGGAGTTTGACCAAAAATAATATAATTCCAGGTAGTTAATGTCAGAAATAAATAGTTGGAAAACCAGATGGTATCTGGATAATCAGCTAATTGGTTGTTGATACTGGAAAATGCCACAGATCTAGCATCCAAAGTTAATCTATATAATGTAGCACTCAAACTTATAATTAACTTGTGAAAACATGATGCACTATATCACCATCAAAACTACACTGAAACAGTAAGACAAGAGAAAAATATCAACGTGTTAAAAGGAAATGTGTTTTGAGTTACCACATGTAACTTTCTCCACTTTTCACTTTTTCACTCTCTAAGATGAATATACATTAACACTTCTTTAGTGAAGAGGGGAAAAATAAAAGCTATCTTTTGGACTAGTTAAGTTTTAAGTGTGAGTTAAAGAGAAGTTATGTGTGTATCACTAAGAAATCTTGTCTAGGGCCTCCCCTGGTGGTGCAGCGGTTGAGCGCTGGGCTGCAAAGCTGCCCCGCAGCCTCTGCAGCGCCGGTTTGATCCCCAGTGGCAGACGAGGGTCCCACATGGTGTGACAGACCTCTCCTGCCATGCCCCCTGCTCCCTTCAGCAGTGTATTTCGTCAGTCTGCCTGTTCTGTTCCCCGTTCTGGCTCTGGTGAATTCTCTCACCCTCTCACACTTCTGACTATACCCAGTGCTTGTATGTATGTATGTATGTATAAATAAATAAATAAATAAATAAATCTTTTTAAAAAAAGAAAAAAAGAAATCTTGTCTAGTAAATCACTACAATAAATTATCATCATCCTAATACATAACTAAATATGTGAAATCTAAAATAGAAATATGAGCTATGCCATGGTTCAAAATATTTTCTAAAGAAGCACAGTGGAAGGGCCTCCCCTGGTGGTGTAGCGGTTAAGTGCTGGGCTGCGAGGCTGCAGCGCCGGTTTGTTCCCCGGCCGCTGGCAAGGGTCCCACCAAAAAAAAAAAAAAAAAAACCAGCAGCAGCATAGTGGAAATATTACTTTTGGAGAACTTAAATTTTTTATCTTGATACTATTAAAAATATCAACACTTTATTGTTTTTGTTATTGCAGAACAGTCAAATTTAATTGTGTTCTTATAAGTCAAGTGTAAATCAACACTTTTAACCAGGTTTTTTAAAAAGCTCCAATTAATGGTCAAATAATAAGAAAATAAAGAAATCAGTCTCAATATATTTTCAGTCAAAAGTAATTGGTGTTTTTTTTGGGGGGGGGCCTCCCTGGTGGCGCAGCAGTTGAGCGCTGGGTTTCGAAGCTGTCAGCAGCCTCTGCAGCCCCGGTTCCATCCCAGGTCTCTGGGCGAGGGTCCCACATGGCGCCCGCTGCTCCCCTCAGCAGTGTATTTCGTCAGTCTGCCTTCTCTGCTCTCCGCTCTGACTGCTGAATTCTCTCGCCCTCCCGTGATTCTGACTGTACCCAGTGCTTGTATGAATGAATGAATGCATAAATAAATAAATAAATAAATAAATAAATAGATAAGTAATTGCTGTTTAGTTAGGTCTCACCAATATAGAGGAATTCATAGTTTCTACTGGGCTTTTTGAAAAATGAAAATAATCTGTAAGTACTTTCCCTTCCACGAGCTGTACTTCAGGGATCAGGAGGGCATTAATTGAGCACATTCTCTCTAGCTCAACTTCCTAATTTCACATGCAAGTTGGTTCTGGATTTACAGGCTTGATTAATCATGAGAGGTGAAAGAATGACCATACTCATGTAAATTATATTGACCAATACTGTGTTTCTAGAAAAACTACATCTTGTGAGTAAAGCAACCTGGCTAGATATAAACAATCTAATCAAATGAAACACAACCTCAAGTGGACAATCTCCACCACTGATAAAAATAAGAAATGTTTCACACTACAGACATTAAAATTTTCTTTTAATTCTTTTTTTATTTAGAGATTTTTCTGGTAAGGAGATATACCATAGGAAAGCAATTTCACTGGCAGTGAGGTATGTATATACTCTACCAAAATACTCCTTATTTTAATTGTTTTTAACTTTATTTACATAAGAAGAAAAGTATCAATGCATATCCTTGTTTCAACTATAGTATTAGCCATACTACATGAAATAAAATGAAATGGTGCTTGCATACAAAAACTGTTATTTGTAAAGGAATCTGATTTCAGATTAAAAGTACTGATTTGTTTTTGGAGAGTTCAAAAAAAGAATCACAATTTATCATAACCAAAACATCTGCACCATATTTTCCATTCCTCACAGCACATTTATTTCAGTAATTCTGTTATGTCGGTTCTTAGCATGAGCATAGTGTTACACGATTTTTGTACATATAATCACATCCAAAAACAAGTTCTAAAATTTAAATTGTAAACATTCTCATCATATGTAGAAATATTTCAATTGGTGTATTAAGTTTTGCTAACTGATCGAATTTGGAAGAGAATATAAATGAGAAAGCCTATTCTAAATTGTGTAGTGAGCATTGTTTATTAATTACATTTCTACAATGTTAAATAAAGTAAGAGGCAAACCTGTCCTGTAAGCATGTCATATTTTAGGTAAAACATTAAAAAAAAAAGTATCTGTTAACAAAAGGATGTCTTGCAATAAAGAACATTAGATTTCTTTAATCTATTATGATACAAAAATGTAAAGGGTAAAGAGCATCTTTGTTGACAAAGTAGGAGGTAGCATGGATGCACCACTTTATTGTCTGAGAAATGCAACTGGAGTAAAGAATATTTCCTTACCACAAATAATTTCCAGGACTATGTACATATTTCTTTTAGAAATACTTGTTTAAACAAATCTCCCTCCACTTTTTAGTATAAAAAAAACCGTTCCATGTGATTTAAAAAAAACACTTACACATCTAGATAGAATAGTACTCTGCCCTATTTGAGTGAACAGTCTCAAACTATGAAGTACATGATATTTAATGCCCTAAATTGAGTAAATTGAGTTAGCAATTCCTGGTATTATACAAAACACTAAATACATACAAATAAAATATAGTATCTTATTTTTCAATGCAAGTCTTGTGGGGAATAAACAGAACCTTGATTCTGGTAACACTGCAGAAAACATAATTTTCCAGTAAGTCTGTCTTTAAGTATCCATGTGCAACAGTTTATTAAGGACTGCTTACAGGTACTGATCTTTTATTGAGTGAACACAGTTAACTGACAAAACTTAATAAACCTTAAAAACACATCTTCCATCCTATATAAAATATATAGACTACTTACGGTTTGAAGTACTCAATTTGCTCTGATGTCACTGTAATTCACTTTTCCCCATTTTCCTGCTTTAGTATTTATAAATGGATAATTTAATGTGGCTTAAAAAAAAAAAGACAAAGAATTTCAAATTTACATCCAATTCAAATTTGCTATTTAAAAGGTTTCCTTGTTCTATGAAGCTGCTTCTGCCATTAGTAGAGAAAATGAAGTTTCTGTAATGGAGGCAGGCTTTTTAAGTAGTGACGTGACTTCCACCATGCCAGCTCCAGTCCGTGGAAGATTAGCGTTTACAATGTGTCGTTGTAAGTGCTTAATCCAGTCTTCCTGAACAGACAATGGTCCACGAAAGACTAGGCCACAAAACCTAAAGAAGAAGTTGATAAGGTTCTCTTTATATGACCAATTTCCTTTATTTAAAACAAAGTAACACAAAATCTATAAAACATAAGGAGTAAGTTTTACCATATGTTGGCGATATTGCTTGTCAAGTTTCTAAATTAAGGCAAATAATACACTGTAATATTAAAACTGCTAATTCATATGTTCATCAGTTTTAATAGCTCGTTTTATTTATAGAGGTAGAAACATTAGATTAAAATTAAAGTATCTTAACATCTACACATCTTGATACACATAAAACAACTTTACTTCCTAATGTATCATTCTTTAAGATCCCTCTCTGATTCACAATTCCATAAACTGCATGAGGGTGCATAAGGAATATGGAAGGAAGTATGTATGTTTTATACAGTTAGAGGTATGAATAGAGAGAAAATTGTTCCTAATAAGCAGAAACTTAAGACAAAAAAAAAAATTCCCCAAATCAAATTAAAAAAAAAAAAAAAAAAAAAAACAAAAAGAGCTACTTTTATAAATCACAGTCTCATACAGGTTCTTAGCTAATGTTAAAAAACTTGATTAATCAGTTGCTGAAGTACAAAATCCTGTAAGCTGAATAAGTTCACTTATAACTGAATTATTGAGAACGCCAAGTTGTACTACAAATGAAAAATTTCAAATAAAATAGCTAATGTATCTCAGAGCAAATTCTGAACAAAATGAACCAATTTGGTAATATAGGCATATACCTGCATCGGAGAATGTAAACCTCGTCAGCACCATGAGGTAAGGTTAGCATTTTCTTCTTGCTTCCGGATCTTGACCTTGATTTCTTTTGCTTACAATCTAAGGCTAAAAAAAGGAAGAGGAAGACTTAACATTCCTTACATATTCCAAAATATGCACACAGACATATATTTCTAGAGAGGTCAGATCATCTGAATCCAGTTAGAAAAAAAATCTGCATTCATTTGCATTTCCTGAAACATGCACTCACTTGCAGCTGGTTCTCTAGAAGCAGTAATATCATCCTGTATGCGTTCTTCCTGTACTGCTTTTACAAATAATACTTTACCGTACCAAACTAGAACTGAGAAATATCACTAAATAGCACGAAATGCCAATTATTATGATAACGGCAATCTTTGCCTTAGAATCATATATACTTTAAGCAAATGGTTAAAACTTCCTTATTTTTAGGAAAATTATAACCTCTTACTTAAGATCATTAAGTTTGCATTTGATTACTACTTAAGTAGATCTCACATGCTTTAAAAACTTATAAAGGAATATCAACAGCATAACAATGAATTCAACAAAAAAAATCAGCAATTCACTTTGGGTTCTATAAAAAATTATACACTGGCCCTACATTTGAAAGGGCAAAACCAGCTTAACTTTCACTTTTAACTCAACCTTTAGTGCATGAACAATCATAATGTTTTTACTAGAAATTAGAAAGTAAATATAAATCCAGATTATCTCACAAAAGGTTACAAATGGACTAGAGGATTAGTGCAAACTGCTTTTACATTAATTTTACATTTTCTCCTACACCTATTTTTACAAATATGATTATAAAGGGAAAAATCCAAAGATTTTTGTATTAAAGTAGATCAAAATTTTGGTGCTGTTCTTGAAAGTTTTCCATTGCTTGACTTTTCCTTCAATCACTTACTCTAAAAAATCAAATTTAGTAAAGGATAAAGAGATTTTTCTTATAGGTAGGAACAGATAGGACGTAACATTTTCTTGGTCTTTGAATACAACTACACCATTCCTTTGGACAAAGGGAAGATAGTACTCCAGGGTGCTGCTGGTCAATTAGCAGGAAGAGAATTTAAGAGTCTATCTCCAGGGATCCAAGGAGGAGAGATACAAATGTAACAAAAGAGTTATCCAATGGCTTTTCTTCTGTTAACCTGTCATATGAAATCCCCTGGAATAATTCTAGGTAAGAGAGAACAGAACTGGCTATTTAATGATTCTTGAAATGAGCTGTTCCAAGGTCTGTATTTCAAAAGAACAGATGCTATTATTACAAAACCAGTAAACACAGTCTCTTATAAGTGGTAATGCTAACAGAAATGTCATATAGAAAATTCAAAACCACAAGAAACCTAAATATTATTCAAGCTACTGGTTTCAGCTTCCTGCCATCTGCCACTTTGAAAGTAAAATCGAATATTGAGGGTCCATAGTCTTTCTCTGTTTAGTCTCAGAAGAAGAATCTAATTAAGTAAAGAACTGCTGGAAGTCAAGTATTAAAGAATGGCGAATTCAAAGCTACACAATCAAAATTTGGAACAGGAAAACCTTACAAGGTTCTCATTGGTTATTTCAATCAAGAACTGGTACATAGCGGGAATCCAACAAATACTTCTGGAGTAAAAAAATAAAGGAAAACCCAGCAATTTAACCACTGACATTTAGACAGCATGTAAGTAGCAATTTGTTCTACCACTAGGCAATTTAAGTAACTTTCCTGTAGAACACCTCTGCACATTTGACTGAATGTTGCTAGCACTCACATTTACATTCTTTACTATATTGGATGTTAATTCACTGACCAATCTAGTTTATGTTCAGAAACTAAGTTCTTCACAACCAGTAGGGAGAGTGAGGTACCATGTACTCTGTAAGAAGCACTTAATTGCTTTCATGAGCAATTTAAATATAAGTAGATTTTAAGGTGATTCACATAATAGACATAAAAGAGTGTAGGGAATGCAAAGGGCTAAATGCTACTACATGGCAGCTACTCCTTCGCTACCTATAAGATAAACGATACACAATCACTGCCTCTGCTACATGAAGAGAGCACGTGGTGTATCATGAGATTACATGTGATATACAGCATGACATTAAGGTAGACTCTTACTTTGATGAGCTTGCTGGTTGTCAAAATTGCCACACTCTATCCAAATTCCTTTTTTAATGTAAATATATTACTGTGGGATACAAATAGAATACATTATAACAATTCTTTAAGAATTTGCTTACAGAATGCTTATGTTAGGTGTTTAAAGCAAACAGAGAGAAGGGTAGATGATGGGGTAGTACACAAAAGAATGTTTTATCAGTTAAAGCACTTAAGTTACATTCCGATGCTGTGATACTTTAAAAATAGCACTGGCCATTTTTACTCCAGGATGTATAAATGTTTTTTATTTTTTATTATAAGAAAAAAAGAATTTTCATGATTTTTATGCTACATGGACTCTAGAAATTGGAGTCTAGGCGATCTTATAAATAAATGATCAATTCTAAATTTTAAATGAGAATGGCATAGTTTTCCTGGTAAATAATATTTGAAGGTTTTATGACTTTGGAAAGTAGAAAAACTCTGCCAGCATGACTGAGAACTATAGTACCTAGGGTTCCAAAAAAGCTTAGAGAACCACAAGCATTAGTAACCCTTGGAAATCTGTCTAAAAGGCAGGATATAAAAAAACCTACAAACACAGGTCATTATACCGAAATACTTCAGTGTCTCAATATCTCCATCATCACTTTTAAATTTCTTATACCCTCAAATGAAGTTGGAGATGGTAAAACAGGCAATCGTTTTATAAGAAACAGTTTTTTCTAATACCAGCATCTACCTTTCACTCCTGTATTAAAGAAATATCTGTAAGAAAAAAACTGAGTATTTCACTATTATTAATATATATACAAAGGGTATGCTCTACAAGAAAAAGACGATTTATATAAATATTCCACTAAATGAAAAAGATGATGTACAAACATGTCTATTACACAAATGTTTTCATTTAACAGATGTTTTGGTTTAATATTGGTTTAGAATCACACTAACAGATTTTATTATATTTATAGGGAAAAGCAGTTTTAATCTGAACTGTACCAGCAGTCACTGAAACATTAGAACCAGAAGGTCACTAATACATTCAGTTTAAGTATAAACTCAATCTATGTTTGTGATATTAATATTCTACCAAAGTGATAATTTCACATAAAGCCTTTCTTTGTGATAGGTTTTTATTTGCATTCACTAATGTCAGAAACCAAAACACACGTACATCCCTTTTTTGGGTTCTAACTATTTTATAATTAATATTATTCTGTACTTGAAAGTTACCAGTTTCAGAAATTCTTAATTTTCTTCTCCTTATGTATAGTTATTTCTTGAGAAAGGAACAAAACAATCACACAAACCTTCCTACGATTCCTACTCAGGGAGGCAGAAAATGTTAAAGTGATCATTTTTAACCAGAAGACTATAAAAAATAATTTTGAAGTTACTGATTTATAAGGAATCTAAATTGCTAAAGAGCTTCTGCACAGCAAAAGAGACAATAACAAAAACAAAGAGAAACCCCACTGATTGGGAGAACATTGTTGCACACAACACCAATGATAAAGGACTGATGGCAAAAATCTACAAAGAGGGCCTCCCCGGTGGCGCAGCGGTTGAGCGCAGAAGCTGCTCACAGCCTCTGCAGTGCCGATTCGATCCCCCGCTGCTCCCCGGCCACCAGAGGAGGGTCCCACATGGCGCCCGCTGCTCCCCTCAGCAGTGTACTTCCGTCCTGCTCCCTGCTCTGGCTCTGGTGAATTCTCTCACCCTCCCGTGCTTCTGACTGTACCCAGTGCTTGCATAAATGAATGAATGAATGAATGAATGAATGAATGAATGAATGAATCTTAAAAAATATATATATATAAAAAAAATCTGCAAAGAGCTGATGAGACTCAACAAAAACAAAGAAAATAATCCAGCCAAAAAATGGGCAGAAGAGCTAAAAAGAAACTTCTCTGAAGAGGAAATGCAAATGGCCAACAGGCATATGAAAAAAATGTTCAACATCACTTGTAATCAGAGAAATGCAAATCAAAACTACAAGGAGATACCATCTTACACCAGTGAGAATGGCACATATTAAAAAAACCAGCAACAACAAATGTTGGCGAGGTTGTGGAGAAAAAGGAACTCTCCTGCACTGTTGGTGGGAGTGCAAACTGGTCCAACCATTGTGGAGAGCTGTGTGGAGATTTCTGGACCTACTAAACATAGAGCTTCCATATGATCCAGCAATTCCACTCCTAGGTATTTACCCAAAGGACACAGAAACATCAATTCCAAAGAGCACCTGCACCCCTATGTTTATAGCAGCACTGTTTACAATAGCTAAGCTTTGGAAACAACCCAAATGCCCAAAAATAGATGACTGGGTCAAGAAGATGTGGTATATATACACCATGGAATATTACTCAGCATTCAAAAAAGATGAACACATGCAATTTGCAGCAACATGGATGGAGCTGGAAGGGATCATGCTCAGCAAAGTCAGTCAGAAAGAAAAAGAAAAATACCAGATGGTCTCACTCATAGCAGGAATCTAGAAAACTTAAATAAGGGACCAGGAAAAAGAATAACTATAAGAAAGAAAATATCAAAATCAACAAACAACTATGAACCAGAGACACTCTGTGGGGGATGGGGGCAGGGAAAGGAGGACTTGGGGTCAAAATAAGGGGGTTGTAATTGTAAGGGGGATATAAAAATAAAATTTAAATAATAATAAAAAAGATGCTACAAAAAAAAATCTAAATTGCTATTAAGAATTTTTACTTGTAAGGAGAGTGAACTGAGCTGTAAAGTTACACAAAAAGTTTTAGAATATACTTTTTAGTAAAACAGCCATTTTGATCAATTAGAAATGAAAGAGAAATACAATAAACTCATGAACACTCAAAAAAGAACACAATACTGCCACGCTATGAAATAAAAAAAAAATGTATCTAAAGCACTAAATTGGATCAGTGAAAAGCAAGTTAGTAATACAACAGATTTAAATTCAAGTTTGTTTTCTGAGACATTATTTAGTTTT